TAGTGAGTCTGTGGGGCGACACTTTGGCCACAGTTTAAAGTATAATCGGAGCATTTCTCCTCGACAACCCTTCTCCCACAACATTGTGTGTGTCATAGTTGTTTTCTTAATTGTCTTAGAATATTTGCTTAACGAATTGGTGCATTAATGGTATAAATATTCGAACGATGATGGCCCATGCATCTGGTAATATTAATATTTCCACTTTGTAAAGTCAGCGAATGCTGATATCAATTTATAAATTGTAGATATGAAAAATATTCAGCGATTTTCAGCGATAAAATTCCTTGGAACTTTGAGTAAAACCCGGGATAAATTGACTATCTATGCTTCTCCTTTAAAAATATAGTACAAGTGTTCACCAGCAGACCAAGAAATAAAATAACTAATAGCCTGCCTATTACTAATAGGCAAAGCGCAGCTTTTATAATATCGCTGAATAACGTTTTAATGATTAGGTTTTGGGAAAGACGTTTTTGTTTTGACCTTAATATTTTTGCAAAGACCTTATACACTTCGCCACTAGATGTATTGCTTTATAAGGTCACAATAAGCATTGCAAAAAACTCTTAGCATTAACCCTCAGTAGAATTTTCTTATTAAAAATTTCCAGAATACAGTCTCTTTTTCTGCCATTTTTTCCTGTCTTCGATCCTTACTTATAATACGTGTATATTCTCGCGTATACATATACAGTGATTATAATTTAGCTCCGTCACTTTAAACCAGGAGAACAGGAAATGCATGGAGTAGAGGATATACAAATACAGTTTTATGAATGGAGGTGCAAATAATAAAATATAATTACCGCTCCCGAGGTACATCCAGACAGAAACATATGTTGTAGCGTAGGATCCTTCTTTTGTGATCGCAGATATTCATAACCAAACCAATACAATGCTACATAAAAACGTAAACTGGGTATGTCAACAATGTTCATTAACAGTGGCGGAGAAATTCATAACTGAACCAATTTCTCGGGACAGTTGGGTGGAACTACTTAGAAAAGACAAAGAAAAATTCCGCTCCGCGCGCAAAATTCCGCGCGTAGAGGAAAACCGGCTTTATGGCAAAATAAATATTGGCGGAAAAAATTAGCTGGAAGTTGTGTAGTCTTCCCTCAAAACGCTAGCGAAAGCTTACAAACGATTGCTTTCACAAGAGGCATGACGCGGATGATTTTTAAAACGCTTCGGTATGTACACGTACACTTGATATTTGATCTTTTCAATGGAAAATCAAGAAACGCTCAACTTGAATTTGGGTTTACTTAACGAATTCGTACGAGAAGTCGTCTTGGATAGCTCATCACAAAAGTTCAAGTTGGGACGAAATGTTTTGACTATTGCCCTCAGGATACGTCCAAGCGAGTCGTATTTTGATTAAATGACCAAGAAGTCATTACGGCTCAGAATTACTTCTGTCAATTGAATGCTTTTAAAATCATACAAAATTATTAACATAATGGCAAAAAATCATGACATGGCCAAAATAAAATTGACGTTTACCTGTAGCGAAATAATGGTCTATACAAGGCAAAATTTAACTCACAAAAATATCTCACTTTCCAACGCTGTGTACTCAAATGCTCAACTCCGAATTTGATAAAAACATTTAGAGATAAGCACCTATTTTATAATCTTTAACATCAACTGAATTTCGAAGTTTGGACGACTTGATAACATGCCAAATTTCCTTTCATTGAAGCCATCAAAAGCACGAGTCATTATTCTCAATACTTCTTTTAAAGTTCAACTATAGGCCAAACAAGCATTCATATACGATACACTAGCTAGATATAATATACTACTACTTCGTCGTTACAGTGCAGAACCAACAGCAGGAAAACCAACCTCGTACCCATGGTCTCGCCCTTTAATGGGCTAGGCAGTAAATAATAGTCTTCATCAAAAAGTTTATCATTAATGCAAGAAAGCAAAAAAATTAACGTCAAAAATCACGCAAATTTTAAAACTTTCCTTACCTGAAAAAGGTACATCTCTCAGCAATGAAGGGCCCAGTCCTTGCCATAGCGATGTCACTCCGCCTTGCCTAATGGCCGTTCTTACAACACTGCCTAGTTCTGCAGTAAAGAAATGACGTACACATTGTCATTAAAGAATCTATAATAACTACAATTATAGTAGAATTCATATAATCGTAATTAAATCATAAATATAACAAGAACTCGACGTTTCGACCCTTCGTCTGAAAGTTAGTGAGGAAGGGCTCCACGCTCGAAACGTTGAAGTTCTTGTTATATTTTTCAGGTACTTACTTAAGGCCCATTTCCACTCAAGAAAAATTTCCGCGGACAAAAAATTTTCCGAAAATATCATTGTTAAAAGTTGAAAATTTTCAACTTCAAAATTTTTTTCCCACGGAAAATTTGTGTCGACCAATCATATTTCACAAAATTTTCTTTCCGCGGAAAATATTCCTGAGTGGAAATGGGCCTTTAGATCCTACAATACCTGAAGATAATTGTTCATATAACTCGATATAACTAATTGTTGAAGGAATTTGTAGATGGAAATTTCGAGTGGAATTTTTTATACATGAACTTGTGCATGTTAGAGTTCGACAACTGTGTCTCTGTAGCTCAGTTGGTTAGAGCACTGCACCGGAATCGTCGGACCGCAAGTTAGATTCCTGCCAAAGGGCCGACAAACAGTTGCATTTTTCGCAACTGCTCCTGGTTTGTTCTATTGAATATATAAAAAATTCCACTTGGAATTTCGATCTACAAACCCCTTCAAAATGTATATACCTTTATATTTAAGTTCCTTCCTAGACTGTAATTTTACGCGGATCATCTCAATTGGAGATACGCAACTGGAGGTAATAACTAAAAAAACATCAGAAATTTTCATGTATTGAAGGTTTAAGCCTGGTTCACACTCGTCGTAAGAATCGGCGATTTCCATTGTCTGCGGTCATTGGTGTGTAAAATGCTTTGTCTGTCGGAAAAGAATACAATAGATCGCCGATGAATTACGACCAGTGTGAACCAGACTTTAACGCAATTAAAAATGCGACGATTCTGCATGTTTTGTTGAATGCGGACGAAGATGTCCATGATATATGCAAACTTTTTACAAGCACTCGTGCAAACGCACAATCACTTATTTGCAGACCTTTCATGCATCTATTTCCCCGGATCATCAACGAGTTATTATTTGAGTTATTATTATTTGGACCGATGACGATCTAGGCTTACAGATTGAAAGCGTTGCCAACTACTGTGCGTGCATGGTGTTTCCACAAAACAAAACAACTACAATTATTTAAAAACAGCCATGTTGTCTGTGCGCTTGTTTAATGTTCGAGAAAAGGTGAAGAATACAATGTCATGTAAAATTTGTCGTTTGGCACATGTTCAAAAAAAAACAGCCGAGAGTTTACACCTATACAGTGCGGTTTATGGAAGATGAATAAAAGCTCATGGCTCTACGTACTCTACAAGTCTCGTTTTCATGCCAATTGTCATTAATATATTTTATGATAACACCTATCGCCGAGTTTGATATAACACTACTGTAATACTAAATTCCGTTTAGAGAACGTGTTCACTATGTTCAAAGAATCTCGTCGTGCTTGTAAGGAGAACTAAGTGTTCTGCAGGACCAATTAGCCGAATTTCCCTTAACCAAGCTGGAAATCTGTGTGTTTTATACGACGTTCAGAATTCTGTAAGGCTATAGCTGTTCCTAAACTAAAGTATAACAAGAAAACGTGAAAAATGTTTTAAAGAAACAGCTTTTCCCTACAGGTATACAGTATCTACAGCATATACATTAAAACCGTTTCAGCATATAGAGACAATTGGATTCAAATTGTACCTCTTGCTGTAATTCCAGACAACACTGGTGAATAAATATTCTTTTCGCCAGGTTTGAAACCGTACATAATTTTCAGTTGGTCATAGGCCGTGAAGTATATTATCGTAGCTGGCACTGACATAACCCTGAAGGGAAAACAAATATACCGGTAATATATATATAATTTATATACTTAGGTCAGGGAACTTTAAAATTAAATCCAAATGATTTGGTATAAAGCATCACATGGATAAAACAACAGGGTTTCCACCCTCTAGTAAAGATGGAATTCAAGGACTTTTCCATGACATGACGTTTTCCGTAAATGTAAATACTGGAAATATCTTTGAAAATTGCATGGATTTTACTTCATCACTCTTTATTCTAAATGTACTAGTACTGCAGTTTAAATAATGTTCAAGTATAATCAGCACAACTCTGAGTGCAACAAGCACAATGCCAATTAATGGACGCGTGTATACAGTACAGGGTATGTAATTTTCTTTATGTCTCAATTTGTGGCATTTTGCACAAGACAATTTCATGCCTTATTTAATCACATACTCTCCTGCATAATTAGTATGTGCAGTAGCCAACTACAAAATAGTAAACAAAATGTTTCATGATTTTGTGTACTCTATCAAGTGATTAAGCACACACACACCAGTTATTAATAAAAAAATTCTTATATAACACTTACGCTTTACGACTTTAAGTATTAAATAATTTAAAAGAAAAGCTTTCAGTTGCCTCCAAAACTATAAAACTGTCGAATTATACACAGCTGATTTCAAAAGTTACTGTTATTACATATGGTTGAAAATTTTGTGCTCCAATTCAAATCCACTTTAGAGCTCAGATTGCGTACGCCACTGGATTGTAAATGGATAATTATGCAACAGCATATTGTACTGTGCTGCACAGCAAATTCATGCATGGAAGGTAGGACAACTATGAAATAAGTAAATATCAACCTCAGGACTCAAGGAAAAACAAAACCAGCACTTACATAGTTGCTGGTAAGCCACCCCATAAAGCAGTTAAGCCTTCATATCGAACAATTCTCACCAACGCATCCTTTGTAAAAGAAATGCACAAATCATTAGGTACATACATCACCAAAAAATTCAACTTTCCTAATGCTGGAAATTAAAGAGGCAGTCAAGTGCTTTCTGCTGATGAGTATGGCAGCTAAAGAAAAACGCTCCAAACCGATAGTTCATGCAGCTACAGATAATTTCCTCTTCTTTAGTACAAGTTTAGTACGGTTTTTTTCTGAGGTTCATGGTCAAGTGCATTCTACAGAAGAGTCAGTCAGTCAGTCAAGCAGGGTAGAACCCAACGAGGTTCAAACGTAAAAGGGTCCCAGAATTAAGATCCACAATATTTGTTGGAGCCAAACACCATAAATTATCTCCTGCTATTCCACATTCCTCTTGTACTAACATTGAGGAATAGCCAATAAGAAATAGTTATATTGATGGAACCTTGGGGGGGGGGGGGGGGCAATTTAGAAATGATCTGTGACAATCTGTGTAGACATATCCAAGTTACTTTAGTTTAGTAAAGTTTTTACTTTTCACTTACCAGTGTCGATGTAAAGTTCTTGTTAGCAGGAGGGCAATATTTATGAGTTGGACACACATAAACATGGTCCATGAGACCATTGAAACAAATCATACATCGTTCTAAAATAGCACAAATTGAAAATAGATTTAATTTACATCTTCACAAAGGATTATATTCAAAACAGAAGTAACCAAAGTCATGAAAAACCTACATGGAAAAAAATGAGCTAATTCAAGCAAACATCGACGCTTTCAATCTTGGGAAGATATTTAGTTCAGCATGCTAATTTACTCCATGATAATAATTTTCACCACTTTATAAATAGTTTAAATATTTGCTAACTTATTAATTTATGCATAATTTTGAAAGACTGGTTAAGCTGATTTTCAGGGGTGGAAGCAGTGGCGGAAATCTCTGAAAATTGACGAATTTTCGGAAATGTTAACCTAAAAACAACCTTTTCGAGTGCAAATAGGGGGGGGGGGAAGGGGGTTTGTCGGAAATTTGAAGGTTTAGTTGGAAATTTAGGAGGCTTTGCCCCCCTCCCCACCGGAAAAAGTGAATTTCCGCCACTGGGTGGAAAGCAGGCGAGCAGGAAATGTTAAACAGCTGCAGGAAATTCGTTTGAACGAAGATCGATATGCTATAATGAAAATTTGAAGGAAACCTTAATTGGTTGACAGACATTATTCCTTGAATTTAAAACTATATGTTTATGCACTTAAAATTTAGCACAAAAATACTTTGTTGATCTGCAGGAAATTTTTGTCTCCAAGTTGTGCTCCCAGGAAGAAAATTCTTTTTTCCTGCCCTGCTGGTTTTATCAGGTTTTCTTTCATTTTACTGTAGTTATCAGGTTCAGGTATTTTTCAAAACCACTTCAGTCTATTAAAAATTAAGATAGACTGTACAAATGAAAACAGGGCAGTTAAATACTACAAATCCAGGACATTGTCCAATCTGTGATTTCTATTGCTTTGACAGTTAAAAAATGTGATTTCGTCAGGCACGCACAAACATCATCGGTTTTTACTGGAAAATCAACTACTCTGCAGCATTTTGATCTATCAGACTTTGTCATAAACATTAGAAAAGCACTCCAGACATTCAAGCAGACAGGTTAAGCACATGTTTTTGTGCTTTTAAAATATATTGTTTTTTGTGTTTGCGAGTAGTTTAATACGAAAACATAGGTCAAAAATCAAATCTTTATTACATGGCACCCAACGTGGGTCGTGCCGTCGTGGGGCTTATATCTAATGGTATCGAAAGCCCAATAACGAAAATAACCGAAAATATTGGCGATTAATATACGATAATACGAAATCATAAACGAATAACACGATGTCTTTGAGCGAAGGTCTTGCACGTTTACGAGCAATTCGAGGCGGTCATCGGGCCGTTTTGACGAAATATTTGAACGAATTAAAGGAACTACTCGCTACAGTCGAAATATCCGAAGAATCTCTTATGCGACTCGACGTTTTAAAGCAACAAATCGACGGAAAACAAAAGACATTGAACGAACTCGATGCGAAAATATTAAACGAGATAAAAATTGAAGACGTAGAAAAAGAAATCGAGGAAATCGAAGCCATTGTCATTAAAATTACCGTAGTAAGGGAACGAATCGGACGAGCGGGGAAGCAACATGTGACTCCACAGCATACAATTGTCGAAAATAGTCAAAATACGAATGAGTATGGTGCGGTTGCTATGGCGACGTTGAGTTCAAATTTCACGTTATGTTAGGGCCTGAATTTCAGGTTACGAGATTACCAAAATTAAAACTGCCACATTTTAAGGGTGACGTGACAAAATGGAACTCATTCTGGGATGGTTTCGATTCAGCAATTCACTCGAACGCAGCTCTCAACAAAATAGATAAGTACAATTATTTAAACTCATTATTAGAGGGTCCAGGTATTATGTTTCAGCCATAGAGTTATTGAAATCGCGATTTGGGAAACCACAACAAGTGATAAGTGCACACAAGGACGAACTTCTTCACCTCCCCAACTGTAATCCTGACAAATCATCATCGCTTTGGTTTGTCTATGACAAAGTTAGCATACATGTACGTGGGTTGGAGTCGTTAGGCGTGTCATCAAAGGAATACGGTAGTTTGTTCATACCGATTGTAATGACCAAACTTCCCAATGATTTACGAATGAAGATAGCCAGGGAGACATCAGGGGATGTTTGGAAAATTGATGACATTTTAGAAATTTTGCGAAAGGAAATCGAAGCCAGAGAGGCTAGTGATTCAAATCAATTCAAAATTCGCTGTGTTTATTGCAATGCCCCTCATTACTCGGCTTCGTGTCCCACTGTAACAGATCTGACCAAACGAAGGGAAATATTAGTTAATACCAAACGCTGTTTCAAATGTTTAAGGCAGGGGCATGAAGTAAGAGACTGTCGAAATCCAAAACTCTGTCGTAACTGTGGACCACTGTGGGGGCCGTCACCATCAGTCCATATGTAGTAAGGGTTTCCTACCGCAAAACCTTCCAGAGAAGAATGAGCAAAATAAGAATGAGCAGAATAAGGTTGAGCAGAAAAAGGATAAGGGTGCAGGTAACATGGGGAGCAAGGATTCTACACTGAATGTGGGTAATCTAGTAACTAGCAAAAGGCATGTTTTACTTCAAACTGCACTGCAGTGGCAACTAATGAAGATGGTTCAAATATCTGTCCAGTACGTTTTCTCTTCGATAGTAGTAGCCAGCGGTCATACCTCACTGATGATTTAAAGTGAAAATTGAATCTGAATCCAACCAAAACTGAGATATACTAATCGTCGGAAACGAAACATAGTTGAATTGGGATGACATTCATTGGGATCATCAAACCATAAGAAACGAAGTGCTCTATCGACTTCTATTGTATCTAAATAGATTGGGCGATTCCGAACACGAAATAAAATCCTGCCAGTTGTTTAATCTGAACTTACGTGATCGTGATAATGAGATAACCCTGATTTGTGCCCTCAATTTCCCTGTTATTTGTTCGCCCTTACCATCTACGGTGGACATTTTTGATTATCAGCACATTCGTGGTCTAGATTTAGCCGATTGTAGTGAGATCCAAGAAGAACATCATGGTAACACTGTTGATGTCCTGATAGGGTCTGATCACTATTGGAATTTTATATATAGTGAAACTATCGGTGGTGATTCAGGGCCTGTCGCAGTGAGCAGTAAATATGGTTGGGTTTTATCTCGGCAGTATGAGTTAACCAATGCAAAGGGTGTGAGACAAGAAGAGTCATAGCAAATTTAGTCATTTCCTCCCGTACCGAAGTTTTCCTCAGCGACAACGTGCTGGAAAATGATTAACTCGTAGACTGTTTGAAACGTTTTGGGGAAACTGAGAAAATTGGAATTGCGGACAGTGATGACTTAAGACTAACCCTGTCCCTAACAATTTTATCGAAGATATTGCGTTTGATGGTCAAAATTATGAATTAGACTTGCCATGGAAAGATAGTTCTTTTCCTGTCTCTAATGGCTACGACACATGTTCTAGACCTCTCCAATCCCTACTTCGAAAATTACAAGCAGATCCTGTCTCCTGAACGATATAACAAGATTATTTGTGACCAACTGGAAGCGGGCATTATCGAAAGGGTACCTGAAACAAGCGACTCCAGCAACGAAAAAACACGCATCAATTTCTTACCCCATCACCCAGTTATCCGAAGGGATAAAGATACCACCAAAGTTCGTGTAGTCTACGATGGCTCGGCAAATGGCTCGAATGATGAAAGATCGCTCAATGAGACCGCTTGGCAGTATACTGTCCCGGGGTAGTTAATCCGGCTGATTTACCCTCTCGAGAACTTGATGCAAAGGAACTAGCTAGTAACGAGGTTTGGTGGAATGGTCCACAATTTCTACGCCAACCATCGAGTGAGTGGCCATCATGAGAGGATCAAATGATAGAATGTAATGAGGATGCTAAAAACGAAGAAGTAAAGGCCCCACCAAAATTTACGCACGTTTTACTCAACCATGATCCCACGCAAGCTACAGCGAGAATCGACAAGGTACTAGAGACGTTAAGATACCCCGGTTCCGGTTTACGGGTACGAGTATCGCCATTTTGTTTACCAATTTTTGCTGATGTCAGCATTTTTACCCGTAATTTCTACCCGT